CCCATCTGAGTGACTTAAATGAGATGGCCAGTTTTGGACTTTCTGGAAGTCTGGAGGAGGCTATTCCTGTGGCAAGAAAGTATGCCCTCCTTCTGTATGGCCAAAAGAAAAGGGAGGATGGCCGTCCTTGCACCACCTTGGATGAGCTGAGGTACACACTAGCATCTACAACAGATTCATCAGCTGCAAATCTACCCCCAACAGAAGATGCCTTCCAGCAACATGTATTAAGAGCCATGTACCAGACCGCAGTGTGGTGTGACAGCCATGTGGCCAAGCCTCATCTCTGGAAACCAGTTGGTAGAGGGTGGAGGCTCAGAGAAGATGGGTCTATTGAACCAGTGATGTTCGTCAAAGAACCTGCACCTAAAGAAGTCAGAGACATCACCCACCTATACTGTAAGGACGGAAAGTGCAATGATAGCAGCAAATGCCAATGTCTTTCAGTAGGCTTGACCTGCACAGAGTTTTGCTCTTGCTCTGACTGCCCAAATGTGAGCCATGTTGTTTTTGATGATAATGTGGATGAGTGATAGAGATGTGTTTATATGCATGTATCCCCCGACTCCCACTAGCTTAGGTTTACTTAAGTTTAGATAAGAACATTTAATTTGAATACTAAAGTTTGTTAATCCAAAAACCTGTTTTCTTGTCTCTGTGTCTCACCTTCTAGTCCCTGGCACATTTTGGCTGCAGTTGGGCATAACAGTGTATAAAGACACCATAAACGTTTAGTGACATAACTCGATGAGTATATAAGCTACCTTTACACAATTGGTATTGCTGGATTCAGTAGAACCACACCTTTTCAACAAGCCCTTGTGTGTGTTGCTATGGCAATCCATGTTAGGGTCACTACAAATTAAAGAGATCATTCTACATAGATACATTTCCGCCTATTGTAGGTATGTGTTCAAATGACTATCTCCAATTTACAGTAAGATATTGACATTCAGTCTTTTCTATAATGCAGAGGGATGTCCTGACCTCAGGTATGCCAAGTTTTAAACCTATCAGACCTTCCATTGTGAATCTACATGAGTTGTTATGCCTCAACCCCCAGACGGCCAACCTTTATTTTTAGTGTGGGGTGTCTAACTTTATATATCAATTTCACAACTTTTGCAGTAAAATATTTGTATACAACAATCCATTTAATGTATGGGAGGCCTTAGAGATGAGGAAAAAGTAAGTTGTGTTTTGTCCTAACTCTGGGAGGGGTATCTCAAAATGTTGGGGCCATTGTCACTAGCCTATAACTGTTCATTCATACTTTCACTCAGAAACCTCATTCCAACTTTAAAATGTTACACGTCTGTAGGAGCCAAAATGCTTGTTTTTGCCTTACTTATTATTTGTATTATTATCTTGTATTTCTGTTTGCATCGCGTTTAATTCTTATTGTTTATCACTTCCGGCAATGGTCACGTGGGTGTGGTTTATTGGTATCTAGTCACCTGTTGGATGCCGGTTGGGAGGATATGATGTAGGAAGAGAGTGAATTTGCTCCGATACTTTCTGTTGACCGTCAGGTCTGGAGTTGTATATTGTTTGTTTTCGTTTTATTAAACACCATGGACTACAAATGACTACGGACTCTTACATGGAACGCGTCACAGCAAAGAGCACTTTTTAGCCTCTCAGCAGCTAACTCATAGGGAGTTATTGCCGCTACAATGTCTTTCTGACATTATTCGTGTAAAACAACTTTTAAATCTGATTCTTACTTTTAGAGATATTAAACATTGTTCAGACCTTTTTAAAGACGTTTTCTTCAGATTTTAATATTAACTAGAGTGCGTGATGTCACAGCTAGAGGGTAGAAAATCTTGAGATTTGCCTTCATATTTTTTTTTAAAACTGCCATAATTCCCAAACCCTACATTCCTGAGACATAATTTATCATGACAAACGTAGGAAAACATCTCGTAGCTTGAAAAATGATTAATAATTAAGCAAAAATAATTAAACAAAATGCCTCTTGAGGGCATGAAGTAACAAAAACCTTCAACATGTCTCCATTAAAGCCCATTGTAATTTCAGGCTGATATTTCCCCACGTCAGCAGCCGCACACCTTTAGTTAAACTGCCAAAAAGGCCACATTATTAACCCAAAAGTACACAAAAATTACACTTCAGATATTCAACTTCCTTGACATGCCTCACGTTTTGAAATGTCAGATATCTTTTACGGTTCTTCTACAAAACGTTCACATGTAAGAGGTTCATCTCTCATTCAGAACAATAGAAACCTCTGATCTCCGGACACCTCGTTAGCTCAAATATAAACACCTGTGTCATGGAATACGATGATGTCATCACTCCAACTGACATGCTCAGAGCAGCCGTGAAAACATCTTCGGGACAGTTTTGAGATTTCTTCAAATGCCGTTGCCATGGCAACACAATGCTCGCCATGAAACACGGTTTTCTCATAACTTCAGTGAAACTGCTCCAAACGCCCCAAAACTTCACAGGTTTGGTAACGATGCAGCCATCAACGCACCTAAGCGTATTATGGGATGTCACCAAATGCCGTTGGCATGGCGACAGATCATTCGCCATCAAGTTAGTTCAAAAGTTTGCAGTTAAAATATTCTGCTGCTATTCCAAGCCTTTTCACTTTCTTTTCTTTTCTCATCACACATTCAAGCCCCCAGTGTTCATGTATCATTTCAATCTAAATTCTTCACTTTCTTCTTACACATTTCATTTCAGCGTCAGTATAAAGCATTCCCACTAGCAATTTCTTCAGGAATTGCATTCTCTAGTTAACTCTGTTACGCCCATGTCTAGGGGAACCTAGGCGCAGCACAAAATGTGCACTCTCCCCACTCCCAAGAACATGGACACCGAGACAGAGAATGCCGTTTGGTCATTTTAATTATCAAAGTTTTTAACAAAGAAACGCAACAACCCACAAAACAAACAAATCTCTGAACACATAAACATTGCCTAACAAATAAGAAAAATAAACGTGCAGGGTTCTTACCGGACGTATAAACAGGAGAAAACGAGGATTAACCAAAAGAAAAGGGTTTCACACTTTTGCCTAAATTAAAGTGTGTCCAACAAAGACAGGTAAAGTAGCTTATCTTTCTAAAGTTTCACAACAATAAAAAAGGACCGGTATAAGTATACCCACAGCACAACAGGACAGATATCTTAATACGCAATTGTGTTGGGAGTAGGAGAAGTCAAGTCAGAGAGACGGCAGAATGACTGCATGGCTGCAGCTTAAATGCTCCCCTCTTCTTCAGGTGGACCAATCAGCAGGTTGAAGGTAGCTAATCAGCTAACGAGCACCACCTGCTTGCTCACTCACAGACACTCAGACACAGGAGGAGGGAACAATATCTACACACAAATGACATAACGACCCAGGGTCGTAACAACTCCTCCAAAAAATATAGTTTATTCAATAATAAATGAATATGTGAATGATAACAGTGATTGACAGCTGATAGGAATAATATGATTGTTAATAGTGTAGCGACCCTGCATAGGGTGCTGGGTGTGTCACTCAAGCATCCCCCGTCTCTCTGCCAATCACAGAGCTGCATAGTAATGCTGGTCTGTTTGACGGTGTGTGAGTTAGGGAGTGGAGTAGAGAGTAATGATGAACCTGTAACCTGTAACCTGAGCTGTATACTATAACCGTAAGCGAACAAAGGAGTTATTAAACCCAATCACTGGAAGCCTGTTTCCGACTCCCTTTGTCGAATGTTACAATAGTATCATATTCATTCAGACAAACATCGATGAGACAGTTAATTAATGTACTTATTGCAGCTGTCTGCATAGATTTGGTTCCCCTGCTGGTCTAAGAGTGAAACAAACTCATTCAGATATTGTTCAGTTAAAATTCATTAAATGATGTCTGCCACCTTATATATTTATATTAATGCTGTAAAAATTATCACGTTAACGGCGGTAATTAATTTTTTGAATTAATTGCATTAAAATATTTAACGCATTTAACACATGTGCAAAATGGCCCGCCCCATACATCCCACCAGTATGGCTGGGGTAGGCTACACCCATACCAAGAAATGGCTTAGCCCCACCTTGAAAAATGATGTTAAAGTAAGCAAAATAAAGTCCGCCAACTCGCGCAGAGAATTGCACAGACGGCAGTTAGTAAGATTGATTTCAGTAGCCACTTGTTTGGAAATACTGAAGACCAGAAACGGTTTTGAAAACTTTTGTCACGTAGTGATCGTCTTCTCAATAGAACATCTTTGATAATGTCTTCTGGCCAATCAGAATCAAGATAACGGCGTGGTGTTGTCCCGACGGAGAATACTTTTGCTGTAGTAGGTGCACATAACTGGTACACAGGTACGCATGCGCGGAAACAATCTGAAATGCTTACCGTCACTTGTGTCACAAAGCGCATTTGCGTACCGACGTACTTGTGAAGCTTTTCCAGAAGGCGGTTAGATCACCCCCCCCCCCCTGTGTTGATAGAAATCAACACGTAATGAAATAAGACCCCACGGTTTGATGATTGATAGGTGTGTGGGCTGTCTTTCATTTTGACACACAGAACAATGTTATAATAAACATACATACATATTGTATGTTAAATGGATATATCCGCCTTCTTTCATTTATCTTTCCATTCCCACAACAATATACATAAAGAAATGGCATATTTTGGACATAGTTCGAATGGTGATTAATCATGATTAATTAATTTTTAAACTGTGATTAATCTGATTAAAATGTTAATCGTTTGACAGCCCTAATTTATATGTAAGGCTTTACTGATGTGCCACAATAATGTCACCTATGTTATTCAGTTAAAAATATTAATATTGTGGCTTTCCATGTTAACATTGATTGATACGACTGCGATTAAATCAGCATATACTTCTGCCAGGGGATGCCACCCCTCAACATCTCCTACCACCCCATGGATATTTGTCTAGATCCGCCCCTGGTTACAGTATGACTAACGCTTTATTCAATCCGGAGATGTGTCCCTCGCGGCTCTCGGTTCTACGTCACTCTATGTTGACGTGTGGCTCGAGAGTCTGGTAGCTAGCCTAGCCCCGCACTTGCTTCTTGGCAGCGGTAGTTTGAAGAAAGTCCTGACAGCTGACTCTTCTTGGTAAAAAATAAACTTTAAACAATGGCGGACGAGTGGGAAGAAATCCGCCGGCTTGCTGCTGATTTTCAGAGAGCACAGTTTGCTGACACCGTGCAAAGGTAAGAAACTGTTAGCAGCAAAGCTAATGTTGGGTAGCATTCACTTTCATTTAGAAGTAACGCTGCTAAGCTAGTTTTTAAATGTCTCTTTTCTTTGAACTGCTATCATTCTAAAACCAAATGTAGACGTACGGTACAATTAGCAGGTAAACGTCAGCTATGACACGTGCTTAACTTTTTGCAGGCTATCGGAGAGAAATTGCATTGAAATTATTACAAAACTGGTCCAAGACAAGAAGCTGGATGTGGTGCACACCCTGGACGGAAAGGAGTACATCACCCCGGCTCAGATCAGCAGGGAGATCCGAGATGAGCTCTACGTGCACGGAGGTCAGTGTGACAGCGTCCACACATCATACTGTCTGCTTAGCTCTCAAAGGCCTGCCTCATGGCCTGGAAACCATGTGAGCTGTAGCATATTGACAGTTCGGAATGATAACAGTGAATTGTTCCTGTGATTCAATTTAGGGAGAATCAACATCGTGGACCTCCAGCAGGTGTGTTAAGCAGGTTGAAATATGGCTGTGTGTACCAGCTGAGTCCTGTACCATATGTTAGACACACAATCCATGTTACCTTCATTAGTAGATTTCCTATGAGTTATGTCTGGATCTTCTTCTCTTCAGATCATCAATGTGGATTGGGTCCATGTGGAAAACAGAGCAAGCGACATTGCTAAATATGATAAAGGAGTTCAACTTGTACTGGGACAACTTATTGATGAGTGAGTATTCAGTTGGCCTTCGATGAAAAGTTATTATCTCTGTTTCTTGGACAGTCCCTAAACAAAAACAATCAATAGAGGTAGACTTTAAAGAACACTTATTCCTTGTTTTCAAATGTAACTAATTGAAGATCTCAATGAAAAGCACATCTTTGAACTTTGCTGCTGATCTTGTCATGTCTGCAGCTCGTACCTGGACCGCTTGGCGGAGGAGGTGAACGACAAGCTGCAGGAGGCCGGTTTGATCAGTATCGCAGAGCTGTGTAAAAACTACGACCTCCCAGGAGATGTCTTGAATGAAGTGAGTGTCACTGCCAGCCTTTTACTGCATGTGTTTATCACAGAAGATGTAATATTGATATTGATAAATGTGTGTTTTGTGATGTACCTCAGGAGCTGTCAAAGCGTCTCGGGAAGCTCATCCAGGGTGAGATGGACGAGTACAACAGGGGGGTGATATTCACTCCAGCTTTTGTTGCTCGTCACAAAGCCAGGATACGAGGGCTGTTCAGTGCCATTACCAGGTAAACATGGCTCATGCATTTCACACATCAGGCATTATGCAAGATCCACTCGTACAACAGATTTGTCCCAGTTCTTGTCAACTACCTGCAGTGACCAATTTTTAATCTAAAGAAATGACCACGTTTATGAACACCTTCTTTATAGTCATATCTTAGTAGAGCAGAATTTACGACTTGCGAAAGTGGACAGAAGAAAATGTTTTGATTGACTCTGTTTTTTTTCTATTTCTGTGTCCTGCAGGCCGACACCTGTCAGCAGCATGATTGCAGCTTTTGGCTTTCAGGAACATCTTCTGTACTGTAAGCAGAGATTTTCATGGTTCTGTGTTTTATGGTGGTAGTGTGCCTCAGTGTCTGATTCTGTGATGGCTCTGTTGTTGCCAGCGGTCCTGGAGGAGCTAGTGAACACCGGCCGTCTGAAGGGCAGCGTGGTGGGAGGCCGGCAGGACAAGGCTGTGTACATCCCTGATATCTACTCCAAAACTCAGAACGCCTGGGTGGACGCTTTCCTCAAGCAGAACGGATATTTGGGTATGGGTTTTGAAATGATATATATATATAAAACATAGGTCTAGTTGTTCTTTAGAAATGTTATTTCCATAATGTTACATGTACCATTTTAAATCTCAGGGAGGCGAGTGATGTATTTTGGAGGTTGTATTACTATAATTGTGTGTGTGTGTAGTCTAAGTGCACTCCTCCTCCTGCAGAGTTTGATGCTCTGGTCCGGCTGGGGATCCCTGAGCCCAGCAGCTATATCAAGAAGCGCTTCAAGTCCAGCAAGCTGCTGTTCCTCAGGGCGGCCTGCGTGGGGCAGGCTCTGGTGGACCAGGTGGAGGCATCTGTGGAGGAGGCCGTCAACTCAGCCACATGGACTGACATACAGGTGCTACACAGCTGTCTCTAACTGAGCCCCTGTTCATGGTAAATATATGAATTTCTTCAGTTTTAATCCTGGCTCTCACTCTGGCTCTTTCAGCCCATTTTGCCCAGCTGCCTGTCAGTGGAGGACATGGGGATGCTGATCGCCGAGGCGATGAGGAGCACTAATGTCCAGTCCTCTGCCAGAGTGCTGGGAGACACGGTGGTGGTCAGTGAGAAGTTCATCAGCAACTGCCTCTCTCTGTTTGATGAAGCCATGCAGCAGAAAGCTCAGAAGGTACAGCCGTCCTCCGTCACATCTGCATGAGTTCAACCATAAGAAAAAAAGACTTTGAAAGTACAGTGTGTGCTGTTTCTTCATGTGTCTCCCAGGAAGTAAAGAACAATCCAGTGTTCCTGATAACTGAAGACGATCTGAAGCAAGCGTCCATGCTGACAGAGAGCACATCAATTTCTAAAAAGGACAAGAGAGAAGCAGAGCGCAAGAAGAAGAGCACAGGTTGGTGAAGTCCAGCCCACCTCACACACACTAATAAACACATATAGCAAAACGTTGAAATCTAGAGCAAACTGGTGACCCAATTGGCTCTCAGACTGATTACTCTTTCTACATTGGAGAAATGTACGTCCTCTTTTTCCAGTGATCTAAAGTGTCTTCAGTCTCCTAGGAGGTCTACTGGATTCTCAACACAGATTTCAGACATTTGTAATTGTTTTGTAGCCCAGAACACTAGGCGCTGGTTGTGAGAAAAACCTTGAGACAGAGAAACAGAAGAATCCATTGAGAGGCCTAGTTTCTCAGGAAATTGTGTACATTCAACGTCTTTTAAGTGTTGCTAATGCTAACAAGCATGTTGTTTAAACATTCTCTCTGATGTTATATTATTTCTGTTATGTTCTGTAACTGTTTAATGGTGTTATCTTTATTGTTAGTGCACGCCGCAATAACGCCTCTGATATTGTGATACTGCTACGCACACCCTTCCCCGTCAATTTATATTGTGTCTTTCTAGCAGCTCTGTAGCCCCATCCACGAGTAACGTTTCCACGTCAGGTGTTCTGTATGCTAGCAGCAACACACGGAGTTAACTCAATGATACAAACATGGGTTAATGATGAGAGGAAACTGAGTTACTCTTTATTTAGTTAAAGTTTCAGCTATTCTGTTCACAGTTCTGTCATCAGATTATTTAATACGATTTGTTAAAACATTGTTGTTTCTTTTGATGTGAAATATTATTTATTTAATTTAAATAAAAAGCAATGTTAGTTTTGTTCACAATTTGTTTAGTTTAATAATATATGTATTTTTGAATCAAGTATTCATCTTTATTGTCTTCATTGTTAGTTTCCACATGCCTAAAACAACCTCAAGCCAAATCTAAAAGTTGATGGCTAAATAAGAGCGTTTGAGAAATTGTGCAAGGCATACAGTAATAGTCCGAATAGTCGATTAATCGTTTCATTAATCGATAGATTAATCGATTATCAAATTAGTCGTTTGTTGCAGCCCTATTGTAGTTATCCCATGTATAAATAAAAGGTGTTATTCAGCAACCCTTGCAATTTGGGATTTTATTTTTGGTTGGTAGACCTCGGTGAGCTGGTCATTTCAAAAGTAGCTCACCAGCCAAAAAAGTGTGGGCACCCCTGAACTAAACGCTTTCATTTTGAGTTGTGAGTTTAGTGTTTTTGACCCTAAGAAACACTGATGCATTAATCAAGAACAATAATCCAGAGGATTCAAAAAATATATATCCCAATATGCCACCCCCCACCCCCCCCCCAACACTCAGGCAGCACCCCACCCCAAAGCAGTAAACCTAGGGGAAACACTGTAATGTAATACTGTATATCCTTGCAGTTCTTCTCCTAAGGTGCACTTAAACTACAAACTATGTACTTAAAAAAAAAAGCAACATTTGGAAATAAGGAGTTACAAAATCAGTATTTGTATTATATAGAGCATCCCTGGTGATATTTAATAAGAAGAAGGTTATTTGTTTGTGGATTGTACATCATGTGCCTGTGTGTCTCCCAGAGGGCAGCGGCAGTGTGAAGTCAGGCGGCGGAGGAAACGCCAGAGAGATACGCATCCGTAAAACCAAGAAGAAAGGGAGGAGAGACGAGGACAGCGATGAGGAGACCGGACCCTCACAGCAAAGTACGCTCATGGACACACAGCTACTTCCTGTTACAGGGACAACATGTCTCTGTGTGCACATTAAGCCTGCTCACTGTAACAAGAGTCTGAAGGCTACTGGGATAGAAACCTCTCCCCTGGGTTGTTCAGCTTTTTTCATGGGAGACAGAGGCAGCTGTAGTGTCCCTGGGATACTAATTAGCCTGTGTGTTACCTCTCCTAGATCGCAGTAAACAGACTGCAGCCCCCTTCATGGCCCAGGAGGACATCGTGGCGGTTTTAGAGGAGAGAGTAAGCGACTGCCCCGAAGAAATCCTCTGCGAGCTGGCAGAGCATTTAGTCAGGTAATACTCAGAATCAGAACTTCTTTATCAGTCCTGCACCGGAGAAATGTACAATGTCACAGCAAAAGTGACAAAGAATGTTAAATATAGAGACAAAGCACACATTGGAAATACAAATACAAAATACAGACGAATAAGTGGCTAAAAAATGAGTAAAAAATGAGTAGCAGCATTCAATAGGTAATATTTATACCTTAATGTTTTGCACATAACATGATCATTAAGGCTCTATTTCTGAAGCAGGGTAGGATTTTCACGGCAGCCATGACGGCCATGGCCGTCGTAGCCCCTCTGTCTGGCCGTTATGCCTCACAAATAATTGTACGTCCTACGGCCACCATGGCCTTTGGGCCCCTCACACTGTTAAAATCTCGAAGTTGCTTTAAAAGCGACAGAACAGTGTTTTCTGAACTGCATTATGCTGCGTTCACAACGGACGCGATGGCATGCGAATATTCTCATCGCTCTAACCGCTTGGGTTTCACCTCGGCTGTCAGCTGTGTTTACTCCTGTCATTCAAACAGAACGCGCTGGAGAGGGGGCGGGGCTTATATCCATGTAAATACTGTGGTGGAAACCAACTACGACAAAATTAACCTATTTTACAGTGATTTAATTGTAATACACGTTTCAAAAGGATGCTGAAGTAACTACATACTGATACCGGTTAGTAAAACCATGACTTAATGCTTTGACAAGTCTGCAGACAGACGGCAAGCGAAAAATCTTTTAAAATGCGTGTTTTCTGAATGGATCAATCAGGCTAAACTAACCTGCAGCTGCTCCGTCCACACTCACAACAACGTCATACAGACATAAATAAAGCAGCGACTGTATTCAGTTTCTGAACAGAGCTGTGAGGAGTTGATTAAAGAGACTCTCTACACACACACACACACACACACACACATACACACACACACACACTTCACTGTGCACTGCTGAATGATTTATGTGCAGAGCTTGACCCTTGAAGGCTGTTTCTTCTGCTCTGAAATGGAATATATTTGTTACATATTAATAGAATTTTTGATTTTTTGATTTGATTTGTGAATGGGAGAAGTAGTAGATGGAAAACATACCAAACACTAATTATTCAAAGTAGAGTATTTTATTTTATATACGGTAATACTAAGGAGGCATAGGCCTATATGATGATATCATGTTTGACATTATTGATATGAAAAAAGTGATTTGTTTTCCATGTCATTCGTGTGTTTTTCGTGTTATTTATTTGTAAGCTCCAAATCCAAATGTTTCCCTCAATGGCCTTTGTGCCCTGGCATGTGGCCTTTGCGCCTTGAAAAAATGTGTAACACCAAAGGCCAAATGGCCTTCCCCCTAAAATGATGAAATTCCAAGTCTGGTATGAAGTAAGCAATAGTTTAAGGCTGCAGCCACACGAGGACAAAAACGGCTGTTTGCGTTACTGTTTAGTGTCATATAGACCGTTCGGCCACACGAGGACGACCGCATACGGCACTAAACGACTGAGGAAACGATAACGGGTCCCAAGGTGGATAGAACGGCATACGCAACGCTCTGGGGGGTCAAACAGCTCCGTGTGTGCGCCCTATACGATCATTTTCTGATAATGATTGCGCAATAGCCCCGCCTCTCCCCACCTCTGCTGCTCACCCCCGCGTCAAAGTAAACTGCACACTGAATTCAGATTATTTATCTTTCTCTCGATATGGACATAAACGCGAGTGAAGTCTAATCTGACAGGACGGAGACACCTCTCAAACTACCTAAACTAGTTATAAATGTTTATTTTTACTGTCGGCCGGGTCACTCATTACTGGATCAGCTGCTGCATGAAACAGACACTGGCGCTGTCCGAAGAGAGGGAGGAAAAAGAGAGGCTTCGTGTATTTTATTATTATATTATATAGATTCGTTATTCATTTGTTTTAAAGCTCAATAAATAACAAAGAAGACCTTTGACCGGCACTTTTATAATTTTGTCGGAAGATTTAAACTTTAATACACATTGACTGGCAAAAAACTCTGCCCGGTTCCCTCGGCCCCCACCGCGGAGAATAAACAGAAGGGGAACCATGACAACCATGCTTCTTCGCTGCTTTTGTGGAGGATGTTACAGCGCCACGTACAGGCTCCTGCATATGTACTGCAGCTTCTCCAGCAGTTGGAGCTAAACGGAGCGGTCTCGTGTGGGAAGACACTATCCGGATAACTATTGCGTGTGGACGGAAGCTTGTTTGCGTTTGCGTTAATCCTATGCGTTTAGCCGTTTTCGTCCTCGTGTGGCCGGGGTCTAAGTAAACTAAGTAGATTTAAGTACAGTTTTGAGGTACTTGTACTTGAGTCTTTCAATGTGTTGCAACTTTGTACTTCTATTCCACTACATGTATTTAATACCTTTAGTTACTTCACAGATGTGGATGAATGATGTGAAATCTAATCAAGTGTTAAATCAGACTTTAGTTCCACCTGGAGTAAATCCACCAGCTACCCTGCAGTATACAAAGTCATTCAAACTAGCTACACCTTTACCGGCTTTGAGAACACTTTCATGATCAATCATTATAAAACATATCATATATATTATTCTGAAACGGACCAATCTGCACAACGACTACTTTACTTTTGGTACTTTAAGTATATTTTGAGGATAATTACTTTTTCTACTTTTACTTGAGTAACGTTTGAATGCAGGACTTTTACTGTAACAGAGTATCAGCACACTGTGATACTTCTACTTTTACTCAAGTACCACCTCTGGGAGTAAGTTTCCCTAACCCACACAGCCCAGTTCTCACTGAGTGTCTCTGCAGGCCTCTGAACAAAGCGTACCAGGAGGTGCTGCGCTCGGTCTTCCTGTCCTCCAGCAGCGCTCCGTCCAGGGCCAACAAGAAGCAGAGCATGAAGGACCTGCAGGAGGAGATCAGCAGCCTCTACAACAACATCCGCCTCTTTGAGAAAGGCACCAAGTTCTTCTCTGGTAAATTCAACACCAAGTGGAAATCTGAAATGATGGGAATCTTTCTCAGTCTAGAACACCTGAAGGCAGACACATGCAGTGCTGCTGGAGTGAGTGGGACACAATTACATTAATAATAATAATAATAATAATACACTTTATTTATATAGCACCTTTTCGAAACATAGCTACAAAGTGCTCTCACATAAAAAATACACCAAGAGCAAGTGAACTAAACAACAGCATCTAAGCATAAAAACACAGAGTTAAAGTGATCGAAAATAATAAATACATATTTTTAAAGAAAAAATCAAAGTAATTCTAAAAAAGTGAGTTTTTAAAAGTGATTTGATCAATTCAATCTCTAAAGAGTAGGGTTGGGAACCAAAACTCGGTTCCAGGTGAGAACCGATAAGAAAATGCCGGGTACCGGGTACCCATACAAAATACACAATTTCGGTTCTGCTTAACGGTTCCTAAACGCGGTAGACCCTGTATTCCACCAGGTCCGTCTGCGCCGCGGTGACCCGGTGGAATACAGGGTAAGTCTGTGTGTTCTGGAGAATCACAGAACGGCCGGTCGTCAGCGGCACCGCCCTTAATTTTTTTTAAACGGCATCATGTAAGTTGTGCTGACAGCGAGGCTCCCCCGCCCTCCAGTAGACAGTTCACGAGCTCAGTCACTTCATAACACCAAAGATGGGTCGCGGTAAACGCTCTAAAGTGAGGTAGGGGTGCAACAACTAATCGATTAAAATCGATTACCAAATTAGTTGCCAACTAATTCAGTCGTCGATTCGTTGGTGACGTCATCACGTGTGTATATGCAAAAAGACAAAAAATGCGTCTATGATGTATTTTCGATCTTTCCAATCCAGAAGAGAGATCTTTCTCCCCCGACTGTGTGCGAGGGGGCGGGGCAGTTTACACACACGCAGCTGCTACATGCAGCAACACACTGCGGAGATGGCGGAGAGAACTCGCTCCGAGGTGTGGTTAAACTTTACCCGTCTTGATGGACAATCCTCGTTGCCTAAAGTGCAATAAGAGTTTAGCATGTAAGGGCGGTAACACGAACAATTTATCTAAACATTTATCAAAAGTGCTCCACATCCAGACGGAGGAATGCACCGGGTTCGACCGTCTTTCTAGTAGCCCTGTAGCCCCATCCACGAGGAACGTTTCCACGTCAGGTGTTATGTATGCTAGCAGCACCACACGGAGTTAACTCCATGATACAAACATGGGTTAATGATTAGAGGAAACTGAGTTATTTATTTTGTTAAAGTTTCAGCTATTCTGTTTACAGTTCTGTCATCAGATTATTTAATACGATTTGTTAAAACATTGTTGTTTCTTTTGATGTGAAATATTATTTATTTAATTTAAATAAAAAGCAATGTTAATTTTGTTCAAAATGTGTTTAGTTAATTTAATAATATATGTATTTTTAAATCAAGTATTCATCTTTATTGTCTTCATTGTTAGTTTCCACATGCCTTTAAACAACCTCAGGCTAAATATAAAAGTTGATGGCTAAATAAGAGCGTTTGAGAAATTGTGCAAGGCATAATAGTCCGAATAGTCGATTAATCGTTTCATTAATCGATAGATTAATCGATTATCAAATTAGTCGTTTGTTGCAGCCCTAAAGTGAGGCTCCACTACACTAAGAAAGAAAAAGACAAGGCACAGTGTAATGCCTGTTAATAGCTTGCCACAGGCATAGCTCAGTTAAAATAAAGCACAGCTATTGTGCAATACATTTGTATTGCATGTATATTTTTTATTTGTAAAAATGTCAGTTAAAGCTTAAAAGAATAAAGATATTTTTATTCTCTAAACGTTTGACCTCTTTCTTTTACAATTTTGGAATCGAAATGGGGAATCGATAAGAACCGGAATCGATAAGCAGAACCGGAATCGGAATCGATACATTTCAAACGATCCCTACTAAAGAGACAGTCCAAACATTTAGGCACTATATTCTTTCCACTAAGCTCCACCCGTGCCAAAACTATGGAGATTGAAAGACGCTGTACAGATAGAAGGAATCTTTTTTATTGAGGTGTGATTAGTCCCACTCTCTCCAGCAGTACTGTTCAATTATTTTGATCCAAAATTAATGCTGTCCAATATGATTTAGACAGGGTTCGTACGGGTGCTTGAAACCCTTGAAAATGCTTGAAATTTGACGTGGTGTTTTCAAGGTTGGGAAAGTGCTTACATTTTGGGAATGGTGCTTGAAATTGAGATAAAGTGCTTGAAAATGTAAATGCTTTACTTTTACAATAAATTGCTGTCTGACTGAATAGTTCGCTTTTTAGATTAAAAGAAAAGAATTGCTTCGCTTCTACATAAAACAGCTCCGCTGCGGCCTTCCCGCGCTATGCGCGCGACCTGCAAGTGTTTGTGTCACGTGTGACCTGGGCATTCTGATGAGTGATAGATTACTGTGTGCCAGGACTGGAGGTTGCCGTTTCAACGAGCGTTGGCTAGCAGAAGACAAATACAAGCCATGGCTAAGACGAGGGTCAAGCCCACGAGTAGCCTCCTGCAAAGTTTTGCAAAAATAACGATGCGAGAGTCTGCGCTGACGAGCCACATGAAAGGTACGCCGTAGTAGCATTTTAGATTAGGCTAACGTTGCATGTTACGTTTGTTTAAGCTAACGTTAGCAAGCTGAATAGCGAACTCGATGAGGGATAATAATAATTGCAGGGGACAATCATTTCAGAGGAGCGTACCTATGTTAATATGTGCCTTACAGTCGCCATCCTGTGGTGTTCAGAGGATGAAGCTCTCACGGCATTTCGTGTTATAGTCACGAAATATAATCTATTGATTCGACACAGAGCGATTTTGAAAGCAATGTATTTCTACTGGTGGTATGTTTCGTGCCTAAACCAAATGTGACTTGATCTATCGAAATCAGTCACATTGACCCGAAGACACATCTTCGTTTGTATTACTGGTCTGGGGGAAGCTCGCGAGTGTGTTTGTGTGTATTTTTGCGTTTGTGTACCGGGGAAACACTTACAAGAAACACCGGCTGTTGTTATGCTTGCTGTGAATGAACACAGTCTTCCTTTGAAGATGTATAAGTCAGGTGTCTTGAGTAGTCAAAATTACCTACAAATCATTGTACACATTTGTAAATATTAGTTACCTTTGTGAGTCTATTTTTATGCAGCTCCGCGTGATTTTGTATAATTCAGGCTAATACACTACCAGAGGTAGAATAAGTACTCAGATGTTGTACTTGAGTACAAGTACAAGTACTCAGATCTTGTACTTGAGTAAAAGTAGAAGTACTCAGATCTTGTACTTGAGTAAAAGTAGAAGTACTCAGATCTTGTACTTGAGTAAAAGTAGAAGTACTCAGATCTTGTACTTGAGTAAAAGTAGAAGTACTCAGATCTTGTACTTGAGTAAAAGTAGAAGTACTCAGATCTTGTACTTGAGTAAAAGTAGAAGTACTCAGATCTTGTACTTGAGTAAAAGTAGAAGTACTCAGATCTTGTACTTGAGTAAAAGTAGAAGTACTCAGATCTTGTACTTGAGTAAAAGTAGAAGTACTCAGATCTTGTACTTGAGTAAAAGTAGAAGTACTCAGATCTTGTACTTGAGTAAAAGTAGAAGTACTCAGATCTTGTACTTGAGTAAAAGTAGAAGTACTCAGATCTTGTACTTGATTAAAAGCAGAAATACTCAGATCTTGTACTTGAGTAAAAGTAGAAGTACTCAGATCTTGTACTTCAGTAAAAGTAGAAGTACCAGAGTGTAGGAATATTCTGTTACAGTAAAAGTCCTGCATTCAAAATGTTCCTCAAGTGAAAGTAGAAAAGTATTCTCATCTAAATATAGTGAAAGTAGCGACAGTAAAAGTAGTCGTTGTGCAGATTGGTCCATTTCAGAATAATATATATGATATGTTTTATAATGATTGATCATGAAAGTGTTCTCAAAGCTGGTAAAGGTGCAGCTCGTTTGAATGACTTTGTATACTGCAGGGTAGCTTGTGGATTTACTCCAGGTGGAACTACAGTCTGATTTAACACTTGGTTATATTTCACACATCTGTAAAGTAACTAAAGGGATTAAATACATGTAGTGGAGCAAAAGTACACCATTTACCTCTGACTTATGTTCACTGCCAACCTAAAAGTACCTCAAAAATAGTAATCAATAATGTATTGAAAAGTTATTTGGCTGATTGTTTTATATTGGCTCAGACAGATTATATGGGAGGCCCAGTCTACGTACAGATCACTCATTTTGAAATATTAAACTTAGTTTTCTTTTCTTTAATTTTTCATCCTCGTGTAGAATGCTATCACGAAACACACATTTGGTTGTTTATAGCATAAAGAACATCTGATTTAATGTGAGGTAGGGAAATAATCATTTGAGTATAAGTATGTGTATATAAATATGTAATTTACAACAGCTGTAAGATGCTTGAAAAGCTTGAAAATGCACCTTGAAAATGCTTGAAAAGTGCTTGAATTTGACTTTGGAAAAGGTGTAAGAACCCTGTTTAGAGGGTCATTCTGCAGGAAGAAGTTGTTTGCTTCTCAGTCTGCATTTTGAATTTTTGAATTTAACCAGATAAAAGCATTGAGATAAAATCTCATTTACAATGCTGACCTGGCCAAGAAGGCAGCAAAGTTACACATTATTACACATAACACAGACATGTAAAATACAGAGAACACAACTAAGTAAACAAAAAGACGAAAAGCAGTCACTACATTGTGCACATTAGGGACAGTAAGGTACACTACTTATTACTGCAAGAGCAGCTGGTGGTAAGGACCTCAGACAACTTCAATTTAAAACAGGCTATAGGGACAAGTGCCCTCAGTTTGAGGCTTGATTGAAGCTCATTCCAAGACCAAGGACCATAATAAAAAAAGACTCCCTTTTCCAGCCACTGGTTCTGAGGTTGTAAGAGTCACAAACTGGAGCAAATCTGGCACAAATATACTGTGGAAGCTTACCTAAAATGGCTTTATACA